AATTAGGATCCTGGAAAGCCGGGAGGCTGAAATTTTAAGGTCAAATTCAACCCTTAGGCGTGCGTGGTTCTCACGTACGGCCCCGTGAAACTTTTTGGCGGGAAAGTGGCTAACTCGGGAACCAGGAAAGCTGGGAGGATAAAATTTTCAAAGAATATTCCCAGCAATGTACAACAAAAATCTAATTCAGCCCCCGTGTATAGGTGCTTGTCATGTACGATCCCGTTGAAAGTTTTTGGCGCGAAAATGGCTAACTTGGGAACCAGGAAAGCCGAGAAGATGAAATATTTAGGGAATGTTCCCAGCCCACGTACGACTTAAATTTATCAAACTCAGCTCCGGGCCTGCATGGCTGTAACGTTCGGCCCCGTGAAAATTTTTGACTGGAAAATTGCTAACTCAAGAACCAGGAAATTTGGAAAGCTGAAATTTCAACGGAATGTCCCCTGTCCAAACATTATGTAGACTATTAGCTTCCCGGACTTCGAGGATCAACATATCACACATTTCTATCTATTGGGCTCCCGATCTCATTACGGTCAAAATATTACAAAAACGTATGATCGCACGGGCCCACGCGGTGCGCGTCGCCAATGATTTTTCCCTTTTTTCCAGCACAATAACTTGTCTAATTGTGACAGTGATACCGCTGGTGACCAGTAATAGTACGGTGCATTGATACTGGGAGGTGCTCCTTTTTTTGGACTTTTCAAAATGTTCTTTTTAACTTTTATCAATATATTTTTCAGCTAACTGTTGTTTGTTAAATGCTGTTGCTATTTCACATATTAAAGACAAAACAGTGAAATGTTTGATACAAATTCGAGGACAGTAAGTGAATCATTCTAAGTTCATGGTAGTTCGGCAGTATTTGGAATCCATTTCTTAGGAAACACTTACCCATATTTTACTGTTTTCCTCCTTTTCTATGTACTGATCCATAAACATATGCACTGAACCGACAACCACTAATTTTCCACCTGTCTCCTGGAGTATTTGATATTCATTAATAATTGACAGAGTGATAGGCAAGAATATTTTGCACAAGAAATCCAACTTTTCTTTTGCTAATTTGCAGCTAAGCAAAATATCCCGCCACAAGCGGAATGAAAAATTTTAGACAGTTTCAGTTGTTTGTTACCGTTTTGTGGAAAGCACAGATGGGACGACTGTTCGGATAACATACACTACCAGTGGACAGCACAGCTGTGGATCGGCGACCGACACTTAGAGTGGCGCCAAACGGATAAACG